TGCTAGGTTGGCAGGAGCTGGGACTGAGCAACGGGAGCTCACCCTGTTGTGGGGATTCGAACCACCGACCTTCCAATTGGCAAGCTCAAGATGCTCAGTTGTTTAGACCACAGCGCCACCAGCGTCCCATATTCTGGGCTACTAACCCCTGAACTCACATCAGCCCCTAGTGGTTCTAAACATGTTTACAGAGTGAATCAGAGAACTAGAACAAGCTGAAAGAAAGTCCACAACCTCTGGCAAGATCATTGTCCAATAGCTTATCTCACTTTCCTCTAGGATTTAGTAAACACCTAAGCAATCTCTGGTTTATCTCTGGTGTGTGCAGGGTGGCAGGGGATCTGCTGCCATAAAGACATCTATTGACGTAAGAAAGGCTCAATGAATTCCATGCCTGTGTAGTCAGTGGTTGTTGTCTCAGGACGACAACCCTGAAATAACTCTGAGATGACAATGACTGGATCTTTGTTCTGTACATAGCATTTGGAGATTAAGAGCCGGGGACCCGGACCGATCCTGGCTATGCAAGCTGAGTGTGCTGCAATGGTGAGATGGCAGTTTCCATCTTCTTGCTTAGAAAGAAAATGGGGGCTTGAACCTCTACAATCCAACAGAAAAGAAGGACAAAAGTAATAGTGGATCCCCCTTGAGGCCTTACTGCTTCTGGCTCACACAGTGACCTGGTGAACATGAATACCAAGAAGCTATCATTTCAATAAGCAGGATTCAGTACATCATAAGAATATAATATTTCTGCCAGATCTGACCTAGTGCAGCATCCTTTTCCCAACAGATCCTTCTGGGAAGTCCACACACAAGGAACAAGGGCAACAGCTCTTATCCATGGTTTCCACACACACACTCCTACTATTCAGAGGTATATTGCCTTTGAAACACAAAAGTGATTTTTAGATATCATAGCTCACAGTTGTGACTAGATCTCTCTTCCATTAATTTTTATGTATTGGCTACCATGTCGCACCAAACAGCAATATAGATAAACTGCAAAATTGGTGATGTACATGCTCAGTGCTGGGTTGTATATTCATCCAGTAACCAGCTCCCTGCACAACCTGCTTACCATTTCTTCAACAGGCAAAAATAAACAACACATCCGCAGACGAATAGTCCAATTTCTGTTCTTTTAAAAATGAACTTTTGAGAACACGCCTCTACACATTCAAATGATTCAGCTGGGCATCATGCACAAGAAGTACATTATGGTGCATAAAGCCGTGATCCTGCTGAAATCAGTGTGCCTTACTTCTGAGTAAACATACATAGGGTTGGGCTTTGTTTGTGTGAATTGGCTGCAGCATTTGAGCCAATGAGTTGAGATGATCTTATGACTTATGACTGGGAGAAATAAGACGTTGCCTCTAAATTCCCTGCAGGAAATAAGAAAACTTGAGCTGTCACACAAAAATCCAATTTAATGGTGTGGGTAATTTTTGCACAAATCATCCTTTCAGCTCATGTGAGATCATAATGGCCAAAGGGCACTGAAGGTCATTAAAAAAGGAGCAGGAATAAAGGAGGTCATTTTTTATTGTATGGGAAATGTGAAGAGCCACATCCTCTACCCAGAAGATGGGTATGTGTCTAAGCAGATAATATTGCTTTTATAAACCAAATTATCCAGAATGCATATTCACGGAGATCCGAATAGACTCCCTCGGTTTAATAATGTTGCATTTTTTTCACAAAGCTTGTCTCAGTGACTGATTAGTTTTACTATTGCTGCTTTTTAAAAGAAAAACACAGAGAAATATGAGGTTCAGTTTATAATAATCTGAATTTGATCACTAGGATCAGAGGTGAGATAAATGTAATGAATAATGTGTCTTATTGCTTTGTACCATCTCATAATCCTTTCTATGCAAAGCCTGTTCTACCCTTGACACCCATATTTCTCCTACAATTCAGGAGAAATCTGAATAATCATCGCTGGGAATCACAAGTAGGAAGAATGCTTCTGCACTCAGGATGCTGGTTTATACAGATAAGCCTTCGGTCCAATCCAGCAAAGCTCTTCTTATGATATTTTCCTTTGCATCTACCTTCCCTCCTATATTGTGTTGTGATTTTCATCAAAAATGTGAGAGTGGGGAAGCCTCTTGGTGCTGTATGTGCATCATGTGTTAATAATGAAGGCAGTTAGGATTTTTCAAGTTCCATCTTGCAGTTTTCTAGACAGTCGATGAAATATGAACCCAGCTAACTTCCAAATTAGCATGGATTTGGTCAGCAAAGATGAGAAAGGATCTGGTTTAACTAATATGTGGATTTTTCTTCATTTTTCTTTAAATAGCAATTTACAAGAAGCATCATGTTCCTAGCTACTTCAGCCTTTGAAGGGAGAATCAAAGAACTTAAATCTTTTGGAGGTTAAATCTGTCTCATCAATCAATCAAAGTTTTTTTGTTTGGCCAATCAAAGTTTTTTTGTTTGGCCATTTTAACCAATAAAAGCATACCAGTAAAAAAAGAAGAAGGGGGGGTTACAACTGGTTTTCATTTTTACATCCAGTATAAATCAATTTGTCCAGAGAACAAGAATCCAAAAAGGATTCATTTTACCAGATAATCTGTCACATGCATATAAAAATACATTTGCTTTTTGTTTTTTTGTTAACATGGTAAGAAATACAGCTGTCTGCTATACTACATTTCTGTTTCAAAGTTGTTTTGCAAATCAGAACGTCATATAAAGTGACATATGGTACATGTCGACTTCCAAAAATAAAAGAATTGAAAAATATGGGATCCTCTGTAGCATTTTTTTCACAAATATAAAGGGGAGAATTGTATGGAATTTGTCTGCATCTGTCATCTAGGACTGCTGAAAGCAATTGCTCTAATTAAACAAAGGAGATGGTTTCCTTATTAGTCTATGAATTTTGAGAATTATGTTGTGATTTGCCATGAATCATTTACTTGTAACTAGAGTTTCTATTTACATTGCAGGACTCCCCAGACATTCAGTTTTATATTTTGAGATAACTGAATGTTTGCATTTTCCTTTTCTCATACTTGAAGTGCTTTTTGGATTTTATCCAGGTCTAAATGCAGGAAGTAAGAAATCATTCTGAGAGCTATTCATTACTATAGTAAACTTTTTATAATAGCTTTTAAGCTAAGGTTACCATATTTTTTTCAATGAATCCAGGGACACTTTTCAAGTTCAATGGATTTTGTATGGGGACTGATCTGTAAATCCGGGGACTGTCCCCAGGAAACGGGGACGTCTGGTAACCTTATTTTAAGTAGCTTTCCAAAATGTTTCAGATAATTAATAATATGAATTATCAAGTATAGCAATGAAATTATTTAAGGACTACAAGTAAGAATTCCCTGTAATTGGTCAGGCTCAGTTTGTTACGGAAAACTCTTCTCCGGTTGATCCCCAATTATAAGCTTTAAAATGTAAGAAGTATTTTGCTGTAAGAACTTTGGAGATAGAACATTCAAGCCCACCACATTACACAGATCCCCAGGCAAACAGAAAAATAACTCTCCATATTAAATGAAGGTTAGTATTGTTATGAGTTTGGGCAGGGGTCAGTTTGGATGGAACCCTGGGTCCTCTTCCAGAACTGACAATCCTGTATCTGTGAATATTAACTGGATGAGGAGAAGCTTTCCAAGCCAGTTCCTTTGTCAAGGTAATGGCTTTGGCTGGCCATTTACCGGTAAGTACCACAATGACAACTTCAGAAGACAAGTCGTATTAAGTCTGTTGCAGCAAAAGATGAAAGAGCCCAGAAAAGATTATGTCACAACAAATATGTTATTCTTCAAGATGTCACAAGATGTCTTGTTTCTCTTTCTAGGAGCAACTCTAGATGTTTCCTCTAGGTGTTTCCTGCTTGGCATGGGGTTGGACTCGATGGCCCTTGTGGTCTATTCCAACTCTATGATTCTAAAGGGAAGGAGGTTACTGCTGCAATCCTAATATCGCACACCTGGGCGTAAACTCCTTTGAATTCAGCAGGATATACTTTCAAGCAATTATGGTTAGCTTTGCTCTGAACGGAAAGGTTTGTTCTCCTCATGGAGGCAAATTCATTTGATCATGGGTAGGCAAACTAAAGCCCAGGGGCCGGATCTGGCCCAATTGCCTTCTAAATCCTGCCCGCAGACGGTCCCGGAATCTGTGTGCTTTTACATGAGTGGAATGTGTCCTTTTATTTAAAATGCATCTCTGGGTTATTTGTGGGGCATAGGAATTTGTTCATCCTTTCCCCCCAAAATATAGTCCGCCCCCCCCCCCCAAGGTCTGAGAGACAGTGGACCGGTCCCCTGCTGAAAAAGTTTGCTGACTCCTGGTCTTAGATTGTAGGTTTGTTTGTTTTTTTAGCATTTACTGTAACAAGCGAAGTGTTTCTTAAACCACCCCAAAGTAGTATCTTGTGGCTTCAAACGTTACTTTTTCAACATTCCTATTCAGTATTCCCCCCTCCCCCATATATGCTATTTGCATTTAACTGGAGGCATTGCCAACCCTGCAAGCCCACCGTCTGGGGTGGATTTAGGTTTGATGAGGCCCTAAGCTACTGAAGGTAATGGGGCCCTTTATATGTCTATCTGTCCTTTGTCAACAACAAATTGTCCCTTTTTGTGTTGAATATATGGTAATTTATGGACCTAATAGGTATCTAAAGCCATTTGACACTGTTGCTGTATGCAGGTTTTATTTTATTTGTTATTTATCTTATATTTTGGAAATGTACATCCAGATTCCCCCCTCCTTTAATTCCCGCCCTCCCTCCGGAGAGTGGGGCCTGAGCTATACTGTAGCTTGTTTAGCTTATACGTAAATCCGGCACTGATCCTTTGACTTGTAAACTGAAGTGGGGAGTCTCCCGGCAGAAGACTACAAATCCCAGAGTGCCTTTCGGAAAGGCCCTCACCCGCCCTCTCCCCGCCCTCCAAGAGGGTGCAGTTCCGCTACTCTGCAACAAGAGGGAAGCGGCGACTACATCCCCCACAGTGCAAGGCGAGCCAGCGCGCGGAATGGGGTCCGCCCCCGGCCGCCGCCGCCGCCTCCCCGCCAGAGCGCCCGGATAAAGGTTCCGTTCCGTGCGCAGTGCGGCTCGGTGCGACGCTGCTGGCAGAGGAGGAGGCCGAGTCCGTGGCCCAGGCGGCGCCAGAACAGCCTGGCATCCCCCGAGTCGCCGCCGTGGTGGGGGGAGAGCTCTGAGGCGGACGCCGCCGCGGGCGAGATGTCGGGGGGAACGGGAGGCCCCTCGACCCGGGGCTCTGGCGGCGGCGGAGGGTTGAGCCGCGAGCTGTGCCGCGCCTTCGGCCATTACAACCGGCACCTGGCGCGGCTGCAGCACAACCTGCGCGAGACGAAGAAGTTCTTCCGCGACATCAAGTACTCCCAGGGCCCCGGCGCTGCCTCTGCTGCCGCCGCCGCCGCTACCCCTGGGCCGGCCGGGGAGGAGCCGCGGCCTCAGCAGGAGCAGCCCTCCCCAGATGTCTGTGCCCCTGTTGGTGAGGGTCCCTCGCTGCAGGCCGGTAAGGAGCTCGGGAGGGGAGTGGGGGGGGCGTATCGGGGGAACCGGGCGGGTCGGTGGGAGGAGGAGCTTCCGCATTTTATGTTGGGTCTCTGGCCAAATCGCAGGGATATTCCTCTCCCTTTAAAAAAAAAAATGCATCAAGGGAAACTCCAACCGGTGTGGCTTCTTCCATCACTGAAGCGGTGTGGGAATGGCACTCAGTGGGTGGAATTCCCCCCTCTTGGGCAGCCCTTGCAGTCTGGTCTTGTGCATCTGCACTCCCAAGTAACTCTGGCTGAGTTCACCAAAGTGCTAGAGCTGCAGGGCTGGGAGAAAGCCCCATTAAATTCAGTAGGACTTGCTTTGGAGTACACATGGTTAGGACTGTACTGTTGTTGCGCCCCCCCCCCCCAAGTAAGGCCACATCCGTCCCATACAGCTAAAGCACATTTAGCTATCATGGCTCTCCCCCTACCTCCCAGAAAAGAATACTGGAAATTGTAATTTACCCCTCACAGAACTACCATTTCCTCAAAGAACCCTTAACAAACTACTGTTCTCGGGATTACTTAATGTGGGGGGACGGGACGGGACAGTTAAAGTGGTATAAGACTGCTTAAAATGTATGGTGTGGATGAACAGAAGATTGACAGCAGGGAGAGGCCTGCTGGGGCAGAGCTGGAGAACTTGTGGCTGCCCAGATGTTGCCGGACTGCAAGTCCTCTAATCTGTGACCACATGCTATGCTCATGGTTCTGGATCTGGCATCCATGTCTGTGGGTGACTGCAAGGTATGTGGAGGGGATCCTGGCTTTTCCAGAGGAAGTGGGAAAAGGCAGTTGAGAGGCCTTCAGGTAGCCAAGATGAAGAGGGAGGTAGCCGAGAAAAAAGGTGATTATTCAGGAGTAATTATAGGAATCCTTGAAGGTTGAAGGAACTAGTGGTTGACAGGTGGCTGCTGTTTGAAGCTGCCCAGAACCCAAGAAGAATTCTGCTATGCACAAACAAATGACATTGGCTGCCCTTTAAGTGTTTGGCATGCAGGCTTTGAATAAGAATTTGGTATGGCACTGTTGCCACCCCCATATATGCCTTTTGGATTGAAGATTACCATCAGTGACTGCTTTTATGTGCTCACTTGTGTTAGGCTCTGCCTATACTGTACCAAAATGTAATAATTTTATGTAAGGTAAGCTACAAACTAACATAGTCCCCCCACCAAACAAACCCCAGGATGGATAGCAGAGAGAAGTTGCTTCTGAGACAGGTTTATTGGAGCATGAGTCATTGTGGTCAGCAGCCTCCTGTATGTCTAAGCAATAGCTTGATGTTTATTATTAGTATTTTAATTTCTCAGTATGCATGTTGGTGTAGCTTGTTGCCCCAACTTCTCCACTGTACTCTGAAATACTGTGATTCTGGTCTCTGTTGGTGAATGAGAAGAAATGCTCCTTGAGATGGAAGGAAACAAATGTTCTGAGGTTGGACTGCATTGAAATATGCTGAAGTAGCAGTGAACTAGAAATGGCATAGATGTGATTGGACGGAATGATCTGGATGGACACTAGTGGTTTGTAAAAGAGTAACGGAATCAAAACTGCTTCTGAGAATGAATAAAGTAAGACAAAAATTAGAATGAGGATCTGAATAGATGTGTGATTGGAATGCATGACCTGCCTCTTCAGGAAACAAGTGGCTCGCTACACAGGCTGTTGGCCCTGAACTTGTAATAAATCTGCACCTAGTTGAAATGTGATTCTTCTTATAGAGACATTGTTTTTAAATGTTTGTCAAAACAATCAGATGTTTTCTGCTTCCTGATTCTGCCCTACAGCTTTAACTTTCTAGGTACATTTCCCCACTCTTTCATTGGGAAGTTTTGTACAAAGTGCATTTCTAAAATATTAGATCAGAAGGAGTTGGCAGAAGCTTTAAGTTGCAATCCTGTTTACACTTGTGAGTAAACCAGCTGTTGATGTGCCAATTAAATAGGGTTGCAAAGAAATTAGACATTTTTGAGCTTTTTCTGAGGAAAATCAGCAAAGACACTGACATCAACTGCCCACCCAGTCCACTGACATTGATTTCCCCACCCAGACACTGGTTGAATACTACAGTATTCTGGATGTATCCAGATGTATGGCAACCCTTAAAAAAACTTGTTTCTTTTGTGTATGTCTTTGGATATTCTATAGTTGGCAGGTTTTGACTGATACTGATATAATACCTGAAATGTTTTATTTACAAATATATAGTAATGGAAATGTAGGTGTCTACTTATGGCTTGGTTCCTTCTGGCTTTGCAGTTGTTAAGAAGCATTAGGGCTGTTTTATACTTAAAATGCTGCTTCCGGATTTCTACCATGCTATGGTTTCTGGGCACCGGCAAGTATGCAGCAGAATAGCATGAATCAGAATTGCACTGTGATACATGATGGCAATTAATTCTGTTATTGAAACGCTTTTTTATTTTTGGAGCAACTGGAATCAAACTCTCAGGTATATATGCAAGTTCACACATCTAGTCCAGCCCCATGCAATGTAGCAACCACAGCTGAAGCATTCATGACAGATGGCCATCCAGCATCTGTTTAAAAACCTTCCTCTGATCCACTGTCTAACAGCCATCTTCCATATGACAGTCCTCTGGATATCTGAAGATGGCTGGTATATCACCCCTCAGCCTTTTCTTCTCTAGGCTAAACATATCCAACTCCCTCAACTGTTACTCATAAGTCTTGGTTTCCAGACATTTTATCTCCTTGGTTGCTCTCCTCTTCACACCAGAACTGGATACAGTACTAGTCTGACAAAGACAGAAGAGTGACACTATTAGTTCCCTTGATCTGGACACTATACTTCTGTTGATGCAGTCTATAATAGCATTCCCCCCCCCTTTTTTTTTTTTGCTGCTGCTGCTGCATCGCACTGCTGACTCATGTTAAGCGTGTGGTCTACTAAGACCCCTAGATCCTTTTCACATGTACTACTGGCAAACCAGGTGTTCCCCATCTTATTTTTGTGCAGCTAGTTCTTCCTGCCTAAGTATAGAACTTTAAATTTGTCCCTATTGAATTTTAAGGTAATATAGAATCCTGATTCCATCTTCTGAGGTATTAGCTACCCCTCCTAGTCTGTTGTCGTCTGCATGTTTGCTTAGCATCCTATCTGTTCCTTCATCCAAGTCATTTATAAAGATGTTGAATAACACTGGACCCAGGACAGAACCCTGTGGCACCACACTTGTCACTTTTCTCCAGGATGATGAGAAACCATTGGTGAGCACTCTTTGGGTTCGGTCAGTCAATCAGCTACAAATTCACCTAACAGTAACATCATCTAGCCCACAGTTTACCAGCTTCTCCTCACAACTATCACTTTGTCAAAAGCCTTAATGAAAGCAAGATATGCTCCATCCACAGTATTCCTCTGATACACCAAGCTTGTAACTCTATAAAAATAAGAAAAGAAATAAGACTTGTGCGGCATGACTTCTTTTTCAGAAACCTATGCTGGCTCTTAGTAATCACAGTATGCTTTTCTAAGTACTACTCAAAGAGTGGCTGTTTAATTTTTTGTTCTAATGCCTTTCCTAGTATTGATGACCGCTTGGTACTTGCATGGGTCCTCTTCCTCCCACCTGTCTTTTTAAAGATGTAGAAAACATTTGCCTGCCTCCAATTGGCAAAAACGCCAGTACTGCAGTTAGCATACGTTCAGTGTTCTAATGAATGCATGAAACGGACAATATTCTGTGGAAAAATAAAGCACAAGAAAAAATCCTGCCTCATAAACTTCAGCGCTTTCTGAACAAAACAGGAACAAGGCATGGGCTGAAGACACTCCCCCCTTGCCATTTTGTGTTTTGAGATGGTGATTTATATAGGATATGGACAAACAGTACTTATCTGATTCTGTTGTAACCAGAGACCTTGTAAGATAATTGCTGTGGGATTTTTTGGGGGGGTGGGGGAACACATAAGCCCAAAGGTTGTTTCTTTAGTGGATTGTCTGAACCAAGTTACAGAGGATGGCTTCATAGAATACATTCTTCTTGCTTGACTTTGGTGAGAAAGCATATACATAACTCTGCATAAAAATTATGCACATGATTGGAAACTAAGTCATGTGTTCATGTTACAAGATAGGCAAATGATAGTTTCACACATTATTTACGTGGTACCGGTAAATCTTATCAGGGAGCTGTTCTTAAGGTATTTGATTTGGAAAACGAGGCGCAGCATTTGGGTGATTCATAACATGAAAAGGACCAGGTTTGCAATGTTTAATTATCAGTGTGATTAATCTTTAAACATAGCCTCAGAGTAAATGGTGGAGCAGATGAACAATGACTTGATTTGGGATACTTATAGAAACTGCTGCCATGTAGGATGCATAGATAAAAAATATGCAATGCAAAAATATGCAATGCAAAAATCTAGATGCTGGGTTTTAAAAGGAGTAAAATAATAATTTGCTTTCAGTTATTACAACTATTGGTTCTTGCTTTAGGAGGAAAGTACAAGAAGGCTTAGCTGGATTTTCACCAATCCAGGCTGGTCTCTATGGAGCTTTCATTGGGTTTTCAACAAAATAAACACTAATAACAAACAAACAGTACAGATCTCATGTTTAGTTATTTTTATAACTCATCTCAATGTATTATTATAAGGAAATGTCATACTCAGATGGCACTGATTTCTAAAAGAAACATAATCTTTGGTTAGAATGTAAATTTTGTTTTCTTACGTTTTCTCAAAATGCACTAAGGCCTCCTTCAGTGAGGTTCTACAAATGTAAATAGAGTAAAATCTTATCAGTTGGCTAAATCTAAATAATCAGCTAAAAAGCAATTACTTGCTTTATTGTCTTATAAATTTAACATTAAATCAAGATACATTCAGGCAATGCAATGCAAAAATCTAGATGCTGGGTTTTAAAAGGAGTAAAATAATAAAATTAAGTGAAGTTTCTAAAACAGAGATGCTTTGGGACAAAGGAAACCTCTGGGCAAGGATT